GTTTACCATGTGCGCGTTTTCATGGTCCGGTTAGTTATCCGCTCTTAATTTCTACGTTTAGATGAAGGCAACGGAGGAGGCTTCCCCGGACAAGGCTGAGGGTAATGGAATCCAAGCGGGCGAAAACAAAGAAACTACAGCTGAAGAAGCCAAGGAGGAAAGCGAGGAGAAAATGACCACCACGATTGAGTCGAAGGTAACAACTGAAATTGAGCTGAAGGAGGCCAAGGAGAACGAGCCGAAAGACGTTGAGGTTCTTGTAACGAAGGAAATCAAAGAAACAACTGAGATCAAAGAGTCAGGAACAGATGTCGAGATTCTTGTGACAAAAGAATCAACTGAAACCAAACAATCGGGAACAAATGTTGAGGTAACAAAGGAGGTTACCGTAACGAAGGAATCAACTGAGATCATTGAATTGGGAACAAAGGAGTTGAAGCAACCTTTGCTGAAAAAGAGGCCAGCTGAAGATGTTGATGATGCGCCAGAGGCGAAGAAGCCGAAAGGTTCTCCATTTTTTCTTTAATTTTACGTCTTCGGAAATTACATTTTACTTCCACGTAATGCTTTTTTCAGAGCGTAAATTGAAATTTGAATCGACATATCTGCGATCTATACCCTCGGCTAGCCAATATGAGAAGTCTTTCATGCATCGCGATATCATCACACATGTTCTTGCTACCGAGTAAGTTTCTATGGATCATTCTTTTCGTACAAATTCATTATTCTACAGCGACTTCTTTATTTTGTCTCAATTCTCCTATTATTTATTGTGATGCTGCAAAATTGTAGATGTTCACATGGATTGACTGGTTCTGTTCTTCAAAATTTCTATTTTTAGAACGGATTTCATCATAACTGCTAGCATCGATGGTCATCTGAAATTTTGGAAGAAAAAGTATGCAGAGGGTGTGGAGTTTGTAAAACATTTCCGTTGTCATTTAGGTGAGATTTTCTGCGCTATTCTTTGTTTATAATTGTTCCATTTTCAGCTTCATTTTCTCACCTTTGTGTAAACTTCAACGGTACACTGCTTGCGACTGTTTGTCAACAAGACAAGCACGTAAAAATATTCGATGTCGAGAATTTTGACATGATTAATATTCTGAAATTTGAATTTGCTCCCAGAAAGGCCTGCTGGGTCCACCAAGGTTAGTCGAATTTAAAATCACTTGCGCACGTAAGCCCAGATCTCTTCAGGCTCCGATGCAG